AAAACATGTACATATAATCACTAATGAGTGTGACGGACGTACATCCACATAACGACTAATGAGTGTGACAGGCGTACATACATATAGTCATCTGGCAGTGTGACGGATGTACATACATATAGGGACTAATGCGTGTGACGGCGTACATAGAATTTGTAACGACGGATGTACATAGATGGTCACCCGGGCAACGCCGGGTATTTCTGCTAGTTAATGTATAAACAGATTCTATCCTCTTTCGTCGCCATTTATTCGATTCACTGTCGTATAAAACGCTATTGTTAAACTGAATATTACATTTATCTCGTAGAACGTAATGTTCAGCTAATAGAGAGTTTAATTTTGAAGAGTTATATCCTTTAATAACTTTATCAATATGTTCCGTTACTCTTCTTTTGAAGTCGATCGATTCTCTCATATATGTGTCACTGGAATCACATGGTATCCGTAGATTGTATTATATGGATTTGATCCAGCTAGATTCTTCATCTCATTTTGCGCTGTTTCTCTCGACTCACTCAATATTTCTCCTATATTTTTATCATGTTGAACGTATGTCTTTATATTATATTAATTCAATAGTCTTTTTAATTTTTCGGTTATTTGGAACAAGGACGGTATTACAATCGCTGTTACTGGTTTCTTATCTATTTGTTGTGATATATGACACTGTTTTTTTAATTCTACTCTGAATTTTCAAACTGACAGGCATAGGCTAATGACTATTTAATAGTATTTGTTCTAATACTTGGAGATCTACCAAGTTACTAGCTGTTTTCGTTTTGAGTAATTGACATTTTAGTGACGTGCAGTGGCTTGTGACATACAGTTTGTTCCGTCCCGTTTTGACCAACTCGTGACCAAACCACAAGGAATTAAGAACTCATCTTTTTAGCATATGTGTCAAATGGGTAGCACCAGTTACGCTGTAAATATCAAGGCTTCAGCGTATTTCTAAAGGATGGAATTTTGAAAATAAATCAGAATGTCCCACTCCCAAACATATCTCTAGAATCGTAATGGCCAGCACATAAACCTCAAATTTTAAGATTACACGTATTTTGACACCAGAATTCGACTGGCCGACTGAAATCGTCAATCGCATTTGCGATCCTGAATCAAAAGTGAACAACTATGATTTTGGCTGAGAAGTACTTGTTAGTTTTGAAACAAAGCTTTTTTTATAGACTTTCGAGTACCCTCTATAAACTTACAGTGTTAGAATATTTTTCTCGTCACTTTCGTGTTGGATAATTCTTTGCTTTAAGAACGGTACAAAAATTCCCAGAACCATATATACTAATCGTTTGATAAAAGCAGCATCTATATTTTATTCAATTTAGATTAATATGTTAAAATATGTTAAATTAATATGTAATATTAGTATCAAACGATTAGTGTTCTAAAGTATTGGCTCGAAATTGACTTAATGATCACTCATATATGTCACTTTGTGTACCTAAAATAATGATACACTTGAATACTTGAGTGTTTGCTTCAAAAATCGTAGATAAACCGATATTGGAAGTGTTTGTTGATGTCGTTTTTCTAACTCTTTATTCAGACGATCAAACATTAACCAACGTTCTAGTTGTGGATGACATTGTCTTAATAATTCATAAAGTTCTTCACCATTCATATCTTTAGTTAATAAAATCATCTCATCTAATTTCTTATCAAAAAGAAAATCGCGAACATGTTGCTCAGACCAAGATTCACTTGGAATTTGTTGATAATCGGTTGATATAACACTTGGACGAACAAGTAGTGTCGGGGTTGGTAGTAGAGATATAGGTGCTGGTAGCAGAGATGTAGGTGCCGTTTGTAGTACGGGAAAAGCGGCAGCAAGAGTCACCCTAGAATACAACATAGTTTGAGACCTTTCTTTATGAAAATACATCCAAATACAGTACCCTTTAGCTTTTGCAGCTTGCATAGCCACTCCTTCAGCATCTTGTTTTCTTTCAATTTCCTTTTTCAAC